GCTTCCCCGGAGCTGTCCTTCAGATGTTTCTCTGCCCCCATCACCTTTGGAAATGTGCATTCTCTTCTGCTGATGTGAAGTTGCATTACTCCTGAAGAGAGTAGATTCAACTTAGTCTGGTGTCTCAACTTGACCTTTATACCTTGGGTGACCCTGCAAGGTGACTGGCCAAGTGAGATACTCTGGCCATCTGCCAGCTTTGGACTTGGCTTCTTTGACACTCCGGAACCCCCACACCGTGTTGAAGAGTGTATCCAAGTAAAAGGTGTTGCATTGTTCAAATCCCATGTGACTTCTTTTTCTCTTACGTTACTTAATGTAAATTAATCCAATACATAGGGGTTTATGCTCCTGCTTCCTTAAGTGCTTTTGGTTTTATTTTATGAAATTCAGAAAGTTCTGGATGAACTTAATTCTAGTTTTGTGGAACATTTGCTCCATTAGAGTGCTCAGTTGCCATACCAACATGAAGAAACTCGGCTGGAGTAAAGCTCTGAGTGGCATATTGGAATGTTTCTTGAAGTAGCACTTGAATGGTTTCTTGCATAGCGGCTGCTTAGCTTTTCATTTAATGTATTCCTTATCTCTGGTCAGCATTATCAGCTTAATACTGTGCCTGTTCTTGTTTTTCTTTCCAAAAGAAATAAAAAATCCATTTATTTGTACTTAAATATCATTCCTGACTGTTCAAGCTTTACTATCTTATTTTTATGTGCACACAAATACAAAACAACATTAATAATTTATTGATGTTACACTGCATTTAAAATTTAACAAATCTCTAAAACCTTCGTAAAGCTTATTTGCATTACAAAATCTGTTATTAAAGCTTAATTTTTACAATACCAGTTCAGAAGAATTATGTATATTAACATGTTCCTTTATAAAATCGTATAGGAGTTTCTTAAGAATATTACAACCTTTTCTGGAGTTAAATTCTCATAGCAAAATCAGGAAGCTGGCTTTAGTTTTGAATGGCCACAGCAGGACAGTCTATGTAATCAAAATAAGCCATGACTTAATCCCTGTGGAAACACGAATAATGGCGGTGCAGAATCCTGTGTCAGTACACTTGGCTCCATCCCACAGCAGTGGTACAATTGCATTTGGAATTGCATACCCACCAGCATCTCGGATGGAAACAACCCTTCCTGAGTGCAGTTATTACTTATTGCATCCATTGTCATTTCATTATTCTAAGGAGATTAAAATGGTATACTGGCTCTCCACCTAACACATTTATCCTCCCAGTAATCCTGAGAAGTGGACAACCCAAGGTTACCCAAAAAGCTTACTGGCTAATGGGGTTTTGAGGTCTCTTGGTGGCGTAATGACTACAGCACCCATTTTCTCATAAAAGTGGCTGCAAATCATTTACCCTCATTACCCTCTACATCTTTAATATAGATGTGTTTGTGCATTCTGGAGCTGGTTATAGATTAACTGCAACTGCAAACACATTCACCAACATTTATTATATAATCAGGTTATGTGGGAAGGGATGGAAGGAAAGTCAAACTATGCACCCACATTTTGTGTTGGTGTGAGTGCATTTTAAGTTTTACGCGTAGTTTATGATATATGTGTATAAACTGTGAATCATCTAGAGCATGGGCCCTCAAACTAAAGCCAGCAGGCTGGATCCAGCCCGCCATGCTGATTTCTCTGGCCCGCCTCAGAGCTTTTGGACTCGTCCGGAGAAAATGATTTTCCCTGCCCGTCTTCCCTGCGCACGCGTGCAGGGAGGATGGGCGTGATAGTGGTTGTGCTTGGCGGGGAGATGGTCACGATTGCGTCCGCCTCCCCCTCCCCGAGTGCGCCTGCAATCACACCTGTCTCCCCCCCGAGCACACCTGCGATGGTGCCTGTCTACCCCCAAGTGCGCCCATGATTGCACCAGTCTTCCCCCCAGCACAATTGCGCCCATCTCCACCACCCCACAGCACGATCACGGACATTGTAGCTATGTCCCTTGAACATGGACATGTTCTTCCCCACCCACCTCTGCTGCAGCCCAAGTGAGCAGAGCAAACATTTTTTAATTTTTAATTATTTTTATTTTAATTAATTTTAAATTATTTTTAAAAATTTTAGTTAATTTTAATTTATTTTTATTTTTATTAATTTTTAATGTGCAGTGTGCATAGGAAATTGTTCATATTTTTTTCAAACTATAGTCCGGGCCCCCCCCAACAGTCTGAGGAACAGTGAATTGGCCCCCGGTTTAAAAAGATGAGGACCCCTGACCCAGAGAGCCTCTGCTCCCACCCACACAGCCAAAGATTCACCTTTGGTTACCCAACATTTGCCTAAAAGATGCTACAGAGTCCCAGGATGAAGGATCTGTGTGCCTCCAGGTGTTCGACTATAACACCCAGTACTTCTGACCATTGAGCAGGCTGTTAGGCGTTGAAGTCCGACCCTGCCACAGGCAGTACTTTACCAGGTGAGGTGCTGGGAAATATAGGGACTGTTCCTGTGAAATGATGTGGAATCCCTAGTTAATTGAACATCTGCCATGCTTCTAAACTGCTGCATGGTTCAGATCTCGGGGACAGCTTTGTCAGCATGAAGCTGATGTCTCACACTGTATTTCACCAGAAAGCCTAGGCAAACACAGTGAAATGTTTCCCCTTAATACTACAGACATCTGGAGAGAACTTTACCAAGTTCATTGACTAGGTCAAAACAGCACTGCAAAGTAGCAGGGTTTGAGGTGGTAAGAAAAGTCCTGAATATTAATAAGGAAAGAAAGAAGAGTAACACTTGCGACTTAATTCATTCTTGGTTACCCTCCTACTTTAAGGAGTCACATAAGAGTAAACAAAATATGCAATTAGTTAAAAATGTTGAAACCCACAAACAAATTGCTGAGTTTTTTTGAAATAAGAATTTTGGGCACAAGCACGGACTTCAGATATACAGCATTAGATCATTTTGCCTTCTCAGCACCTGTTGACACCCGAAGTGAAAAAAATGAGGGCAAATTATGTATTCTTGCTCACACACTCACTTTCTGCCACTGCTGGGATAGCTTTCAGTGCATTATTGTAAGCTGAAATGAAGTATTTAACTAATCTAATGGACTTAATCAAGAAGCAACAGTGAGAACTGGGCACAGAACCACTGATTGGTTCAAAATTGAGAAAGGAGTTTGGCAAGGCTGTATACTGTCGCCCTGCCTATTTAACTTATATGCAGAGCACATCATGAGAAAGGTGGGCCTAGATGAATCACCAGTTGGAATTAAGATTGCTGGGAGAAATATCAACAACCTCAGATATGCAGATGATACCACTCTCATGGCAGAAAGTGAAGAGGAACTAAAGAGCCTCTTGATGCGGGTGAAGGAGCAGAGCGCAAAAGTTGGCTTGAAACTCAACATTAAGAAAACTAAGATCATGGCATCCGGTCCTCTCACTTCATGGCAAATAGATGGGGAAGAAATGGAGGTAGTGACAGATTTTATTTTCCTGGGCTCCAAGATCACCGCAGATGCGGACTGCAGCCAAGAAATTAAAAGATGCTTGCTCCTTGGGAGGAAAGCTATGGCAAATCTAGATAGCATACTAAAAAGCAGAGACATCACCCTGCCAACAAAAGTGCGTATAGTCAAGGCTATAGTTTTCCCAGTTGCAATCTATGGCTGTGAAAGTTGGACCATAAGGAAGGCTGAGCGCCGAAGAACTGAGGCCTTTGAATTGTGGTGCTGGCGGAGAATCCTGCGAGTCCCTTGGACAGCAAGGCGATCAAACCGGTCAGTCCTAGAGGAGATCAACCCTGACTGCTCTTTAGAAGGCCAGATCCTGAAGATGAAACTCAAATACTTTGGCCACCTAATGAGAAGGAAGGACTCCCTAGAGAAGAGTCTAATGCTGGGAACAATAGATGGCAAAAGAAGAAGGGGACGACAGATGAGGTGGCTAGATGGAGTCACGGAAGCAGTTGGCGTGAGCTTAAGTGGACTCCGGGGGATGGTGGAGGACAGGAAGGCCTGGAGGAATGTTGTCCATGGGGTCGCGATGGGTCGGACACAACTTCGCGACTAACAACTACAACGGACTCATATTTTAAATAGTTAATTGCTAGTGGTATACACACTCTCCTTTTAATCACTTAGTCATCATGTTTGGCCAGTTTTCAACTCACTAGAACAAATGCAAATGGAATGACTCTTACTATTAACAGTCTAATTGAAGCATCAATATAGGAATTGAGTTTGACTAGAAACCTAGGCTTGCTACTGCCTACTTCAGAAACATTGCTTTATGATGGACATTTAATCACTGTAATTTACAAGCCCAGCCTTGTGTTGCTGGCATTATTGACCTGTTGACTAAAATATTGATGAGTAGCTTTTTACTGTTTTGTCTGTCTTTAATGGAAGCATTAGCAAATTCATGTCTGTTGTCTGCTTCATCTTAAGGCATGGTTACTAAAGCATCCTTTTATCAAAAGCTTTGCCATCGAAGCTTTATACAGGATTTTTAAAAGAATTATAAAGAAACATTGCAGCTATTATTCAGCAGTATGAAGGGAGGACATGGAAAAACAAACGAGGAAAGGTGATTACTTCTCCATTCACCTTGTCGGAAAACCAGATACACAGTTAGGTAGTTGGAGGTGGGAAATACAGCATTATGAGTTGCAGAAAAGACTATGGCACCTTGTGGTGATAAGGAAAAAGAAGCATAGTGCTGAAAAAAGGGAGAGACCATAATTAAATCCCAACTGTCTGTATAAATTACAAACTACTTCATACTGGATTAAGTAATGATAGAAACAAGGGAATTTTCTTGTACAACTTTTGAACTGCACACAATGCACAGACTTCAGCTTTGTTTTAAAAGCATTTTGCAAATTTGAAACTGAATATTTAACCAACAATGAAAGACAGTGTTCATTTATTATGGCAAAAGGAATTGCAAGAAAGCATTGACATACTTGTGTATCAGTTGATCCAGACTGTTGAACTTATTTTTTTTTTCTTCTGACTGCAGGACCAGCAAGATGAAAGAGACAGTAGTGCTGAACCCATTACAGATGATTACAAAAAGATGGGGACTCTCTTTGGTGAGCTGAATAAAAGTCTCATCAGCATAGGCTTCACAAGGATGTATTTTGGAGAACGAATTGTGGAACCTGTAATAATTATGTTCTTCTGGGTTATGCTCTGGTTCCTTGGCCTGCAAGCTCTTGGACTAGTTGCTGTCCTGTGCCTTGTCATTATTTATGTTCAGCAATAAAATACAATGGATGGTAGATGAATGATTATGTCATATTTTGGTGGATTTATGTTCCTAGCCAAACAACAATTGTATGTTATAAGCTGCTATGCTGAACATTTTATGATAATTAAAGTTAATGCACTTTCAAACTGCCATTATCTTTGTAACTAAAACTGATGCAAAAAACAATACATCAGGAATAGTTAAGCAAACGGGGATCTTAGTTCCATCACAGGGACAGTGGAAATAAATACGGAGAAAAGCTACTGAATCAATGTAGTTCCTGTGGACACATTCTGGTAGCTCCTTAAGATATAAAAAAACAAACTTGTAAAAATAAGTCCTGTGATTTTCTATTTGTGCTCTGTTTTCTTTCAAATAGTATCTTTTGTATTAGGAACTAAACTTTAAAACCACAGTTTGTATGAGGCTTTTTTGCTGCATGGTTTTATATCATCCTGTAAATCTCTGCCAACTTCAGCATCGTGTTTGTACATATACAGCCATGTTAAGTGAATCTGCTTCTGGGTGGCTAATGTCATTAATGCTTTATAAGCATATAAGAAACATTATCAGTTTGGACTTCAGATAAATGGCTGAACTTGCATCTTTTCTTCCACATCAGGTTTACTTTTCCATCTTAACACAGCTAGGGAGTTACCATTGTACCCTTAAACAAATTAGACAGCTTCCTCTTTTGGTGGAGAGGTGACTTCCTAAATTACTGCTTCCTAAATTACCATATCCTAACAGAGTTCTTAGATGCACAAGGACAGCAGATGTGGACACAAGACATGTTTCCTTTTTAGTAATGGAAGTAAAGATTCACTTTTAAGGGATTAAAAAACCCAAATTCTCCTAGGTCTGAACTCCTGAACCCATCCTGAAATTGGCCAGTTTTTTCTCCAAGCCTTATGACTCAGAATGTTCCTGGTCCCACTAGGACCAAAAAAGGCCGCTGGAGATGATTGCAACATCCAAGACCATCATGGATGGTAGGAAATGAAATTAATAAAATTCTTAGCTGGTTAGAAAAAGCAATTCCATTCCCAAGGCATGCTTCTTGTAAAGCAGCTTATAATTTAGTATCTAACACAGTTCTCTAGTACTTGCAGAATGTTTTTTAGTGAAGCTGGGCGGGCATTTCACATTTACTTGATGTTATGTATGATTTCAGTTTTATTGATTTGCAAAGCAAACACTTTGAATGAGAGAGCTGAGGAAATAATAAAGGAAAGAGTAAATCATCTATGTCAACCATAAAAATATGCTGCCCATGCAGTCCTGTAGTGCTCTGTCAAAAATGGAAAGAGTCTTCCATGCACAGTGGAATCTTTGATCTACTGAAGGCCTCAGCTAATGCAAAAGAATGTTACCAATTTGTCTACTCGCTGCAGCTACTTCCCATGCTGTTCTGGAGGATCCCCTGATCTTCCAGAGCAAATTTGAAGGGGGAAGAGGGAATTGGAGAAAATCCACCCTTTCTGTCAGCAAAGGCTTCCACTAGATTAAAAGCCCTTCTGTATGAATCACCATTGGAATAATTGCCCAATGAAATGATAAGCTTTTATTAAATTTGTCCTGTAAGATAATATATTCATACGTATAATATAGATCACATCACTGAATTCTGCCTGCATCACAGGTGTAATACTTTGGCTGTATATTTTTTTTAAAGTGGGTTTAGTTGAAATTTTTAAAAGGTCAGCATAATTATTTTGCACTTTTAAGTGACTGTCTAGGCTCCATTGTATTAAGTAAATTAGTTGATGTCATCAGCATTCAGATAAAGGCACTTTATCTGAATAAAGTGATGAATAAAGTGCTTCATGCAAGAACAGTTTTGCCCCTGTGTTTCATGCAAATTTATTTTTTTTAAAAAAGGGAAGAGCTTGACCTCACTAGTTTTGTTTTTGTTGAAAATACATAACATTGAAAAATCCTTGTACTCAGTGCAGCCATATGAAGACTAGTGCTTTGCAAGATAAAAGTGTTAAAGATTAAATATATCTCAGGTAGTTGCTATAGTTCTCAGACATGCATCCAAACCTCACATACTACCATTAGCACTCCTTTTAATGAGAGGAGGAAAATCTGTGCCTATGAAGAGATGGATGCAGAGAGCAACATCTGCTGAAATGAACAAGGAAAGTCCCTACACCCAGGAGTGCCATGAGAGCATTAGAGCTAGAGTTTGGGAATTAAGATGGCATTCTTCTATTAATTTTGTATGGCCAAATATCATCATCATAGTATTTCACTCTCCTATTTAGAATTTGAAAAACATTTTGGCAGAAATGGGTTATTCAACATCAGTGAGAAACAGTGTTGCAAGTTTTGTTTTTTAAACGGTATTGCTATTGCTAGTCAGATTAAAAGTCTAGTGTTTTTCTGGTGCAAACATTGTAGAATCATTGGAAGTCGTATAGGAAAGGAACAATGTTGAACTGTTGCTATGTAAATGTTTGTTGTGAAGAGAGTAACCCTTCAACTCAAATCTCTTTGTTATTTGTATATATTTAGGTGAGGCTATTTAAGGTAAATTCTATTTAGACCACAAAAATAAGTATTAAAATTGTTTTGATCCATATTTTGGGGTGTTAAATGATTATCACTCAGTACTATGTATTTGTATTGAGTTGGGAGCAAAATCTTTCAAACACATGTAATTGCTTGAACTGTCCAGATGTACCCCAAAACTGAGCAAGAGCCAAAGGACCTTGCACTATATTTCATGTGTAGATGCTTCATTCTTGAAGAATTTCCTTGCACCCTTCACACCCACATGCAGTCTAGTGCTGATGGATGCAGTCCGGCTCATGTTTGGAACCGCAATGAGGTGACAAACATTAGTTTTGATAACTCAAACTGTTACCAGACTGGTGGAACCTCACTCTGAAAAGCTGTAATACAAAACAAAAACAAAAAACCTTCCTTCAAAATGTTTGTATAAAAGTATACTTTGAGAATATTCTGTTCTGTTTTCTAATAAAATATTCTCTCATTGTACAAATCGTTCCTGCTTGATATTTTTCATGAGTTACACTTACCGGCATAGAAATTTGTAAAGGCACAGCTATATTCTAAAATTCTTTTGAATTCAGGAAAACCTCCAGTGACTAGAAATCACTGTCACTACACTAGGCAAATTTTCATTGCTGCAGGGAAGAAAATTACTTGTAAAAGCTTATAGTTTAGAATATCAAATAACCTTGTTAAATTTATGGTCTGGCATCCTTGCAACCCAGTGGACAGCAGGTAAGGAATGTCCAGTGTAAAAGTCCATAGACTCAAGATTTTAGAGGAAGCAATTCAGTTGATTGAGGGTGCAATCCTATGGAGATGCCTGTAATTCTCTGAACTCAGAGGATTATGGGTCTCCTCCCTGACTTCTTGACTGCCCAGTAAACCTCTGAGGTTGCTTTTGCCAACTCAGATATCTGGTACATTCTTTTTGTGCCGGCTGACAGGGCAGGAATGGTACATTAAGTGCGGAGTCCTGCCTGTGATCTTAGAGCTGTTTCTGAAGATCAGAGCTGGGGCTCTCACAAATCCTATGGCCTATGCTATTGGAACTCGGTGCTTAAAAAATACTCAGACAGAAAATACTAGCTTGAAGGTGAACATAGTTGCTTTTTTATTTAGGAATTATTATAAATGGTCCAAGATGGTCATAATCCAACAAAATATAAATGGTTTAAAATTGCGTTATTATGGTATGGAAACTTCATTGATAAAGCCATCAATATAATTTTAGTGATATTTAATATTTCTTATCCTTTGGCCATTTTTCACTAAGTTCTGTTTATCTAGTTTTCAAACTGATTTCCAACTTTCCAAGCAATTTTAAATGAAACTATATATTATATTTATATTGCGATTTATATCCTGCCTTTTTCCTACAAAGGGCTCAAGGCAGCTTACATCTTCTCTCTTCCTCCATCTTATCCCCACAACAACAACCCTGTGAGGTAGGTTGGGCTGAGAGGCTGTGACTGGCCCAAAGTCACCCAGTTGGCTCCACGGCCAAGCGGGGACTAGAACCCGGATCTTCTGAGTCCCAGTCCCACGCTCTTAACCACTATGCCACACTGGCTCTCGATGGGTTGCAAAGTCCAAACTTCAGATCCGATTAGACCACTGCATTAACAAACACAAGCCATTGTCTTGGTGTGGTGCTGTTATATAAAACTTGTTGGTGTTATGGGCAGCTCTTAAAGTACTAGGTAGGGGGTCATTTGGGCTAATTTTCCTTATAAGAGCTTCTCCCATACACAAAGCTCAAGTGGGTTTTGAGAACTGCCTCTGCAGTGGTTGTGCAGGGCTTGGAGATGAGAGTGTGGATGATATCTTGTGCAGAATTGTGTATTTGTGAAATGAAAGGTTGGTACTGTGATACTGTGTCATGAGCCTGATTGCTTCTTTCAAAATCAGAACCACAAGATTTTAGTATACTGATACTCTTAGTATGGATTAGGCTGGCAATATGCTTTCCACACCACCTCCCAAGTTAATCAACTAAATGCAGGTCCCAAATGGCTCTGCTAATATATTTCTCCTCAAGTGAGAGATGAACCAATGCAGATATGTTGGCCTACAATTCCCAGCAGCCTACATTGGGTCTCCCTTGTTAGTCAATATAGCCAATGGTGATGAATCCCTGGGATCACAAGCCAAAACATGTGGAGTTGTCCATCCTTAAGTGATAAACTTCTGTGCCGGCAACTTCCATGCAAGAAATCTTAGTACAAGCCAGGATCAATACCAGTCTTAAAGAGGCTTCAATGAATGCCTTACCAAGATGCTGAGGCATGAAATACATCGGCACACCACCTCTGGTGGCTGGATAGTTGTTAGAACAGGCAGTCTGGTTTACATTGCAAGTACTTGAGCGGAGCCAGCTGGTGCCGGAGGTCAGACCAGATGGCCCGGGAGGCCCCTTCTGAGTCGTGCTGTTTCTGTATTTCTATGTTTCTATGCTACTTGCAGGATTTGTGAAAGGGACCACTGCAATCATAGAAACCAGCTAGAAGCTACAGGAGATACTATAAAGCACTGCTCAGCTCTGCCTCACTTTTCTGTAGCAACATCATTGTTTGTGGTGACTAATCCATGGTCCTAATCAGGCTTCTGCCTCCAGTCCTGCAGTATTTTCACTTGTTCATGACTCTGCCTTGCAACTGGTCCTTCCACAGCTTTGCCAGTGATATGATGCTTGCCTGTGACTGATTCTGCTTTTGCTTCTGGATCTGCCACACCTTGATGGTCTCCAGTCCTTGACCCCTTCCTCTGGTCCTGCTATGCTTTGCTGGGATCTGAGCCTTGCTGTTATCTGACTTTGCCTTTGTCATTGCCCTACTGGATGTTGCCAAAATTTTTGTCTGCCTCTGTCACCCCTGGTGATCCAATTGTAGATAACTGCTGCCTATGTCCCAGAGCACACAAAATGGTGGGGTATGTTGGATACTGTTCTTTAAATGATGGCTACAATCCTAAACATTATCCCCTGTCAAGGAACAGCTACTCAATTCAGTTAACTAGTCGAGGTCCAGACTACAAGATTGTTACGTGGGCCAAAGTTTGTGTCAGTATTTTACTTTCTTAATTCCTTTTACTTCACCCAACACCTCCTCCCTGTTCATAAAACAAGTTTATTTCGGGTTACTTCAAATGTACAACACCACATAATTTGCACAGAAGGTTAATGCTAAAGCAAGCTGATCATGTTTAGGTATGGACTGCATTTCTTTTTATCTTAAAACTTCAAAGTGCTCAGCTTGGTTGCAGTTCTTTTGATGAACGGAAACACTGAATAGAAGCCTGAAAGCACTTGTGTGCAGTTTAGAACTGTGCTCTTTGCAGGTGACGGATCAGAGCTGCTGCTTCTTAGTGCTTCGTGGCCTCTGTGCATCACACATATGGGCTCTGCACTTGTGTGGGGCCTGTTGTTGGGATGATTTTCCTAGCTGAGTTTGTTTTGGTGGGAGCCACCCCCACCCCCAGTATATAAGGGTGGTGCTTTCACCGTTTTCCCAGTTCTTTTCCAACTGCTGTTTTGGGTCCCTCAGTTTCTCATCCTAGCGTCCTTTCACTTTTCCTCAGCTTTTCAAAATCTTCTATTACTCACTCTTGATCTATATTTACTCACTCTCGAGCGATATTCCTCTCTTTTTGCTCATTTTTTCTCATCCCGTCTTCTCTCAAAATAGCAACCCCTTCTACTGTATCCTACTGTGTCCCCCACCCCCTGATGGCCCTCAAGGCAACATTTTGGAAAGGTGTACAGTGTGGCATTAAAATGTGGCATTAAAATGCAACTGGCAGGCATTCATTATACCTGTTTCATTCAGGTGAAAACCACAGAATGGACTCTTGCCCCTCTTGCCAGGTGTTTACCCGGCAGACACACAAGAACCACAGAATGGACACCTGAAAACTGAAATGTGGAGCCACACCTTCACGGCAGTACTACCTATAACCTAAAATAAACAAGCTACTAGCATGTCTTTAAAAACTGTATACTTTTGATCAATATTTCACTGTAAGAATATGCAACTGGCACTACTGAAGTCCAGTATTCAGAGAATACACTGGTTCAGGCTACAGGGAAACATTTATGTGCTACACTATCTTCCCCACGACATAAATATGAAAAACTGGTTTTCCAGCATTTCTTTTACCTGTTAACTTGTGCATACAAAAGATGGTGAGGATGCAATCCTGTGCGTATTTAGGCAGGAAAGAGGCCCATATGCCCAGATTAGCATGGCCAATTGGAGCACGCTCAGAGTTCTGTGCCATTGCTTGGTCTAAATATGCCCCAGATTGTGCCTCAGCCCATTTCAACTCTAGCCAAGAATATCCAGTGCCTGCTTTCCATGGGTATTTTATCCCCTTGTACACAACTGCTTAGGACCACACTATTTTTCACACATCAGCTAAGCGCTTCAAAACAAGAGTGTGTGGTCCTGTTTTGTTAGAAGAGCCAGCTTACTCTGCAGCACTCAAATGCTGTTGTTGGTCTGAACAGATTAGATACCATTTTTCCACAATGGTAATCAATGTTATGCAGAGCAGATTGATTTCTTATGTTAACAGGAACAATTTAGGTGGTAGCATCTTGATTATGTTCTATTCAGATTTATTGGTTCCTGATTCCTAAGTAACAGCCAGGAAGGAAAGCATGGATGTAAAAAATGCCTTTGCTTTGTTGCATTCATAATAAGGCACTTACGGCTACAGATCCTGTCTGCTTAGAAATGACTTAGTCACTTTGTTCCAAGCATCTGGGATATTGAATAGCTTTAGCTAAAAAAAGTTTCTCAGCCTTTCTGTAGTGGCCACACTGTACATTATACAAAAAAAGGAAACTTGCTGCTGAGCCCAGTGAAAAGAAATTGCTTTGTGCACAATTAATGATCAACAGAATTTCCTAAATTTGTCCTGATTAGTCAGGAAAGTAATCCAGATATGTATATTAAAATATTTATAGACATCGATTGTACCTGTGGTCTTTTAGAAGTACTGCCTTAAACATGTTCTCAATAGGCTTCTTCCCAGCTATTTAAAAAAGCAATTATGCTAATTGATGCAACCACTGCCCTCTTCTGATGTATTCTATCCTGATATGCTTCTGTATAAGTATTTCACATTCCCTTAGGGACCATAGTGTAATTTCCTCACTCCACTCTTCATCAAGTGGAATCCCTTCCTCCTGAGCACTCTGTTGTGCAGCGGGAGGCTAGCTCTCATGAGCAACCATGAGAACTATGACATATTTACAGTTGAGAGAAGGCAGGTAATATGGCTTTCGAATTTAATTGTGTGCGCAAGAGCATGCATGCATGCACTCACACACACTTTTTACCATAACTCAAGCATGGGATTCAGGATAGACAAAAATGCCTCACACAATGCATAATTGATTACCTATGTGGAAAAGTGAATTGGATGATGAGACATTGTGTATTGCAACATCCTGAGGCCATCTCTTGGAATCATTGATTCAG